ACACGTCAGCTGTGGCCAGAGCGGAATCAAAGAAATATGTGAGATACAATGTGACGTGATGTGATGGCCTCATGGCGATGAGTTTTGGTAGCTCTTCCACCTTTCAGATTTCAATGGATTTTTTTTTTTTCCATTATTCTCAAAACTTCATGGTGTCTTAGCTTTCTTTCGGGGAGACAGGCATTAACTTTTTCTGAAAATAATCTATACATTAAAATTAATTTGTGTAAATCTTCCTCTTACTGTTTATGCAAAATTAAGCTATGAAAATTAACTTTTTCACATTGATTTTGTGATAAATTTTCTATCCATTGTTTACCTGCCACTGTTCCTTTCGAAAGAGATTAAGCTTAAATTTCATCAACACAAACCTAACTCTACCAGGTACTTAGCTCCAGCGATTATAATTGAATGCGGAATATTTAAATCTTTTGATAAAAGCATAATTAAGAAAAATACTTCACAACTGATGCTTATTTCATTAAAAAAAAAACAGTACCATGTGATTGAACAGTGAGACAGCTATTGTTGTTTTAATTGCATAAACCTAAACACATGTTTAAATAAGATATTAATAGAGAAAGAAAACCGATAATGTGTGTTTCAACTTCATGAACTATTTCTTGACCAAAGAGTCTCGCTCTTCTGTTTATAATTTATGTTGAGTTGCGAAATTGACAGTTGAAAGGAATAAAAACAAGTATCGTACTTTGATTAGTACGTGGGTTGTTGGTAGATTAATACCACTTGTCCCACAAATATCATTTTGAAAATTTGGGCTTTTACGTATTCCAAATTTTGTTCAAACACTTTTTTTGTATTTCCATCTTTTACTATTGGAAAAATTAGGCAGAATATGTTTTGGATATGGTTTCAAACTCTCCATGTGTATTGGTGTGAAGATTTTGGACCTTGGGTTAAGATTTTTGGAATGGCAACATTTTAGTTTACATGAATAAGATGAAACATTATCATGTGGTTAGGTAATGCAAATATTGTATCTTATCTTTTACAAAAATAGACACTAGATTCGTTGCCTTTAATGCATCATCCAAACACAAGTAAGATTTACTTCACGTCACCATTTATGTCACTATCAAACGTTTTTTATTTTTTAATTAATCCACTAATCAAAATACGAGAAACTGCTAAACAAGGTTTTTAACGTGCTGTGTACGAGATCAATAGATCCAATTTTATAAAGATGATATCTTATTGAATAAAAAGTACTATTGAAATAAATTACGTGGTATTGTTTATACACAAACCATTATTTATAATTGTTTTTTTTTAAAGAGGGAATATTTCAAGAATTCATACATGAAGTTAATTACAATGCTTGCAAAATCAAGTTAGACACTCATTTTAGCAATTTTAGTATTGGAGTAGAGTAAATTTGCATGTAAGATACTTAAATCTACTTGACATTAAAAAAAAAGTCCATAAAAATTAAAACTAAATACAAAATGTATGGTTGGGTCAACATCAAATAGTGCAGAGCCACGTCAGCATTTACATGAAGAAATGTCAATGTGCAAAGTGATGGTAGTAGGACAAGAAAAGAAACACAGTTGAATGAATGAATGTGTAAAAGCAAGCGCATACATACATATAACCTCAGATAAAGCTACAGGGCTTTTAATTGGTGGAATGAAAGCAACAATTGGATCCCTTTAGGCCCGGCCCATTTCAAACACGTAAAGACACGTGGCCCTAATCATCATACTTACACATCTTTGCCACTCAATTTTTGTGGTACTAACAGATCTCACACCTCTTCGAAAATTTCAACACGTGGGTGTTAACAAGCCACCTCTACTAGAAAACACCGTGCCCATTAACAGTTTAAAACATGGGCCCAGTTGCATGATGGGCCCATGATCGTCTGGCTGTGAATCCATCGTACGGTCTGTGTTCCAAGGTTGGGAAGAAAGGTGATAATTGAGTGCGAGTGGGCCAAGGATATCGTGATGGGCAAGTGATTCTGGATCGTCCATCCAGTTCCATAGAGTCGCAGACAAATTTTAAATAAGGCGTGAAATGCGGAGCAGCTAGAAGCGTTGGATGTTTGTTTTGACAATCTTTATGTGGTGAGTGTTTTGATCGTGTGGTGAGGAAAAGTTGCTGAACATTTTCTTTTTCTCTTTATGAGAATGGAGTATATTAAACTTGGTTTTATGAATAACGAATTGATAGAACATTTGTTTTATGTTCCTGGTATTTTATATTTTGAGTTTTTTTTGTGATTTTGTTACTAGATTTAAATATTTTACAATGATATAAATATATTTAAAAATAAATATGAATATATTTAAAAATAATAAAAGTATATGTATAAATGAAACAAAGCATATGAATGTTTTTTATATTTTATTAACAATAGAAGATATATCAATTAATTTTTAAAAACTAAAGAAATACATAAATATAATTTTGAAAAATGTACTAGAGATACATGTAATTTTCAATTATTAAATTATTTTTTATAAAAAAATAATTATATGTTTTAAAACATTATTTTTATTTTTCACGATTTTTAGCTAAGTAATATTTTCGTTAAAATTGTTGATAAATTGAATCTCATTCGATTTAAAACACGTAGTATATTTTTTTATTTATAAATATTATAAAACACGAGGTATATTTTTTAGCCAAGGAAATTTTGCAGTCCACTTCAGTACCGTGCTGGAAGTAGAATATATATTTTTAAGGTTTAATAGCCAATTTAGTCCCCATTTTGGTTGAAAAATCTCAATTTAGTCCCTCATTATAAAAGTGTTTTACATTAGTCCTAACTTTTAAAATAGTGGGTCAGATTGGTCCCTTTCGTTAAATATAAGTTAACGAAATTAATGGATGATGATGTGACACAGCTTAAAGCTGATGTGTTAGATTGGTCCTTCGTTAGCTTTAAGTTGTGTCACATCATCATCCATTAATTTTGTTAACTTATATTTAACAGAAAGGACCAATCTGACCCACTATTTTAAAAGTTAGGACTAATTCAAAACACTTTTATAACGAGGGACTAAATTGAGATTTTTCAACCAAAGTGAGGACTAAATTGACTATTAAACCTATTTTTAAAGTAAAGAAAATATAGTTACTGTTTTATTAAAAATGAAAGGAAAGTAAATGTGTAATTTTTTAAAAATAAAGGGGTGAAATATTCTTTAAAGGTATATATACAAATTCCTTTTCATTATCTTTGAAAGCGATACTATTATTAGTGGCAAATTTCATTCCAAATTTTAAAAAAAAAACTCTAGTTATTAGTTTTTTCAAGTTAGTCCTTTGGTTTTTTTGAAAACATCAAATTTGGTCAGTTTTTCAATTTGATCGTTCATTAGTTTTTTGTTTGACCATGAATAGTTGTCTAAGAAAAATAAATCTAAGATTGTGAAAATAAAGAAGAGAAATAGCAGATGATTGATTGAAAATCAAAAGATCAGGAACAGGAAAAAAAAAGACCAAATTGAAAAAACCAATTAATTTTTTTTTAATTTGATTGAAATCAGAGAAACAAATTAGAAATTAAATCTTAAAAGTATAATTAAAACTAATGCTCCAATGTTTGGATTTAACCATTTTTTACATTCAAAACTAATTCAATCCATGAAAAAACATGAATCATCACAATATTTTAGAAGAAAATATTAAATTTATTTAACGTTTTAGTAACATAAAAAACTTCATACTAAAATCCAACAAGAAAGAATGACTTTTAAATTATTTATCACTTTTACAGTGACTAAAGTTTTTTATAAGAATAAAAATATTCATTCATTTTTTTTCGATGTTTTTTTTCATTTGATTTTTTTATTCTTTTTTTTTATCTCATCACTTATTACTTGCTAAACTTATTATTAAATAGTATTAGACTTAATACTTTAAACGAGATTTTGAATTTGGACTTAAATAAAATTAATTAAAAATAAAATATTATTAAAAGTGAGAAAAATTAAATTTACCTGCAGAATTCTTTAAAGTTACTTAAGAAACTACTTATTAATTTATGTACACTTTCTCTTTTTTAGTTGATCTTTCGTTTGGATTATTAGTTGGATGTTTACATTTCGCTGCTAAATGTCGCGTATTGTAAACGAGAAACAGAAAACAGAGAAAATGGACGAAACCGAGTATGATACCTAACAGGTAACTCTACGGAAGGCAATGCCAGTGCTACAGGAACAAATAATCCCTGTAGTTTTAAATCTATTATCATAAATAATTAATATACAAAACTCTTACAATACAGTCTTCCTTCTTCATGTTCAATTCATATCCCTCCCTTATATTTTAAAATGTCATTCTAATTTTAAATTAATTCTAATTCTAAATTAAAAATATCTAATTAAAATATAAATTTTAATAAAAATATAAAAATTAAATTTGATTTTAATTTAAAAAAAATAAAAATCACTTTATGTTAAAAAAAGTAAAATTAAATTAAACAAAAATAACTAATATAAAAACTAAATTAAATAAAAAATATTAATCCTAACACTTCCTCACACCATTACAATATTAATTTAACACAAACTTTTTTAAAATTAAAAATATATAAAATCAAATTACATAAAATTAAGACCAAATTAAAAGATATATATTAAAATAAAATCAAATAAACTCAACAAAAATAAAAATCAAATTAATATTTAAGCCTAAGTTAAAACAACTAAAGAAATTGTTATAAAAAGTGTTGTTAATACTCATCTTTACAAGGACATATTTGTATCTCTATCCTTATTAAACTTATCAACTATTTCTATTTGTCTCTCAGAAGAGAGGAGATAGATCTGAATCTGAATGTTAGATATAGCAGGAAAGACCTACCAGATTGAATCATACACCGACCAGAGACATACACATAAACCCGGTGATTCAAGCCTGGAACGGAACTTTCACTCAAAATCCTGGCATTCCTCCAAGAGAAACAACTTCTTTCATTCATCTATTTTTTCGCTCATAAAGGAAATGTTTTCTTCCAAAGCATCATGTGATAAAACAAACAAATATATTAGCTATTTACTTCTTATTATAGTCATCAAGCACGATATACCCTACATTAGAACTGTTCTAATGTCAAACTACCACAGGAAATGACGTTCAAAATAGCCCCGTGAGACAAGGACGGAAGGCAAGAAAACTTCACATATAAATCTCAGGGATCAGTTGAATTCAAAATGGTGAATCACTTATATTGACAGGGAGTTCCATGACTAGGGTTATCTATATCACACTTTAATGGTTTGCACATTCAGATTGTAAACTATGCTTTATGTTCGCCTCCTTAATCGCCTCCCACTTGGATTAACTGATTCAGCAGCTGCCCCGTCTGCCAAATCTTGACCATATATGCTACTGCCACTTCTCTTTCTGCTCAATGTCAGGCTTGAGTTATCGTCCACTGAGGCAAACGTCTCCAGCAGTTCCAGCAACATTGCGGGGCAGCTCTCTTTCAAATGCACAAAAGCTTCCGACTGCATCACAGCTGCACAAGGTGTAATCATATATATCACTGAGTGTTCAAAGGTTAAAATTTCCAGGGGCTCCAAAACACTCACGAAGAGTATATAAAGTGAGCCAAATTTAAGCGACAGGTAACGAAATCCTGGAAAGTATTGATTTGTTGAAAACAACGCCAATAAACATTTATTCCGAGTAGAAACTCACAGACATAAAACCAGCGAATTTGTGTTCAAACTTTAGCGGGCTATGTAAGATGCGGCAAGCAGAGAATGGCAGAAACCTCAAATTGCTCCATCAATCAATAATTAAGTGATGGAAATTCAAAGATTGAATTCCAAAAAGATTTTCAAAATCCGCCAGTTTTGTACAAAAACTTGATTATTTCATACATTAGAAAAAGGAATTACCTTCTGAAAATGCTCCGTCTGGAAACGAAAAATGAAAAGCTCAAGAGTGATGAATTATTTTCACTAGTACAACAAACTGAATCACACTATGACAATTCATTTCACAAACCAACTACTTGAATTCGAGTCAATAAACAAAATTACAAAATATGGAAAATGGACACACCACCAGTTCCATTTATCCTAACATCAATTAACAGAGAGTGAAGAAGAAAAATGTAAGGATATCTGATTAGTCATAAAACACGAGGTAAAAAAGAAACAGCTAACAAAAACGATCAAAAGTTAAATTTAAATTATAAAAAAAAATTACAATTATTTAAAAAAGTGACAGGGAACAAAAACAAAATTTTCCATGTGAGTGGACAGAGAGGGGAGGGGGGTTACAAATTTAAATTAAGTGTAAAATGTAAACAAATGTGAAAAATAACGGGGTAACAAATAAACAGAATGACTTAACAAACTACAGAGTACAGGAGAGCACCAAAGATTAAGGAAATTTCTTTTAGAATATTAAAGGGATAAAACGTTTCATGAACAATACACCTAAAAATAATGTATTTCATGTCCATGCACACGTGGGTGAGGGCAGACCAGAAGATCATATCCCTTTTCAATGTAACTAACTACCAAGGTTTACTTCTACTGTTCCCTTATATTCATATCTTTATTTTCCTCTATCTTAAACAGATATAACAATGGAGCATGTGGAAGAAATCTTCTAAAATGTTAAAAGAAATAAAAATAAAATTTAAAACAGAGCTTACATTAAAAAGAAATCTTTTTTTTAATGTCATTATATATATTACAAATAGGGAAAGAAGGAATTCACAATTACCAAACAAAGTAACAAACCTCTTGGGTTATCATTAGAAGGACACAACATAAACCATAACCCACTAAAATACATTCCTCTTTGATAACACAATACACATCAAAGTGTTAATGATGTCTACTATCCAAAACAAATGCAGTTTTTAAAATAAAAGCTAATCAGGGTCACTACATGCAGCCTTACCCTTGCACATGCAAAGAAGCCGTTTCCATACAGATAAAATATCATATTTCTTAATAAATCGTGGCAAAGTTGTCAATGCTTCATTGACTCCCCTATAACTGACAAATATCCTTATTTCCCTTCGTTACTATCCCAAGATGCTCAATTGCAATAGTTTCTGGAATCACAAGTATGTGCAAGATAATAAAACTACTAAAATGATATTACAACAAATTACCACTTTAATAATATACCAAATAAAAAGTATCCATCAAAACCCCTAATTTTTCTATTTCACTTTTTTCCTGAGGCCTTGGAAACATGAGAAAGTACAACAAGCAGAGGAGACTCAGTGGGCCTGAATCATAAGTGTGTGTGCATTATGTGTGCCACTGTTCTGAATTTTTCTGTGGATGCTCATATCCGGCCAAGGGGCCGCTCTGCTCCACCACAACATTCAATATTATCAAAAGCCATCCCGGTAATTGACCTGGACAAGGCACTGGATTGGTGGGACTTGGCTGATCCAGTGGACCAGTGATTGAACAGCATGAACGTGTATAAATTATTAGATATATATTTTCTATTAATATATGATTAAAAGAAAATTGTAAACCAGCTACCAAATAAGATGTTGAGTGTCATTTGCACTCGAATATTCGACTTTTTCTCTTAGACAAAATGCAGTACAGAACCATATTTAGACCACAACAAGTGATCAAGAAACATACACATCCATAGTAGAAAACCTGGAATCTTGGTTCAACCCCTGTTTAGGGACCAGGTTGATGACGTCATTAAGGGTTAAGTGTACATACATATAAATAAAGCACCAGACCAGAATGTATGTATAAGCTATCATCATTATATTAATTAATTACATTTTTTCTATATATTTATGTTATTATAAGTTGTATATTTATCTCTATTCTATAATCCACAATTGAGTATTAATGGTTATTTTTTATATTTTTTAAAGATTCTTAACGAAAACATATAATACAAAAAAACAGCAAAAGGACCCTTTCTCCCATTATAGGACTGTTTGGATAAAAGGGCCCAATTTAGAATCAAGCCCGACAACCCTCTGTCTTTAGAAAGAAAAAAACCCTAGTTCATTTCTCACAGCAGCCACAGAAGATAAACACACCACCAGAGATGGCCAGAAGAAATGCATTTGGGAGTTGGAGAGAGAGAAGTACCAAGTGAGGGGACAAGCAACACACTTTAAGAAAAAACAAAAAGTAGCATTATTCCTGCCACCACAAATCCATTCGGGCCACTACAGTGGCAACACTGAATTGTCCCCGACAGGGGCCACTCTGCTATGCCAAATTGCAAAGCCACGCTATCCAGCATATTATGCTCAACCCCTGACTGTTTCCATTGTCAAGCACTTCTAAGTTCAATGCAAGTTCCATATAATTAAGTGTATGTGTTTAATGCTCATTTAATTTAACTATTGATTATATCCAATTAGAAGAAATGCATAGAAAATTTTTTAAAAAGAAAAATAGTGTCTTGAAACCAAGAAACCCAAACAGAACATAGACACACCTGTATCAAATAAAGTTCTAACATATTCACATTGCTCATAACGATATTTGACCACAGCATATTCAAGCATACATCGATCTTTATCTACTTCAAGACACAAGGATGCAGTAAAATGTATTTAATTTGAAAAGTGTCAGTAAACATCCAGAATTCAATACATATTATACACTAATTGCCAAAAGAATCTTAAGTTTAAAAAAAACATGTATTTTAACATTCATATTCTAAAATGATACATACCTCCTAAATTTGCTGGATTTGCAATAAATTTCAAACAGATTGCCTTCAGCTGTGGACAGTGGTGTTGCTCTGCCAGGGCAAGTGTGGTGGCTACATTGTCAGTATTGATTTCTTCACACAATTTTGATTCACAAAGAAGTTTGAGCCGATCAAGATTATAAAGATCAGCAGCAGCCAGGAGATGCTGCACCATGACAGCATATGAGCAGACATTCATTGAGTCCATTACTTCATAGATGTCAGGAAGTTTGTCGGAATAAATGAAGAGAAGCATTGCCTGAAAAAAAAAACAAGGGTTGAAGAATTTCCATTTAATCAATTTGCTCAACAAACAAATTTGAAAGAATAATACCTTCAATTAGAAAATGACAGGTAGCATATAGCATAAAGAAGACTATGACTGGCGGAAGCAAATAACAATATCTCAAAAAAAAGAAACACAATTCTGTAACTACTAAAACAGAATGAGATTATAATTGACATAATCAGCTAACTGAACAAACTACTCATGCAAACTAGACATATTTTCACATACAACATTCTCCCAACCAGGGATGTGTTTAGGACAACTGCAAAAGTTTGATTATTAAAATAGCCAATTATTGTTATAATTGATTATAGTCAAAATTCATTTTTGTTTAAGTTCGTTGAAAAGTGATTTAAAAGATGATTCACTATGTTTAGAAACGACAAAAAATCATTTAAAACAATAAAAAGAAAACTGTGAAGCTAAGGAGGAAAAGAACAGTTCGAAAATAATATTAAACTACAAAATTTCAGATGCTTCACAAAATATTTACAAAAAACAAAAACTTTACAAATTGTACTTATTATCTTGGACACAAGCTTATTTTGCAAACAATTAACGCAATTTCATTGATCTCAAAAATGCTCTAAGAGATTGCAATTTAAAAGACAAAATCAAAGTTAGCGATTCAACACCGTATTTTGTTCCACCACAAAGATACAACAAGTTCCATAAGACTACTTTACCAATAAAACAGACACAAATAACCGAAAAACTCTGAAAATGTCGACAAAAAAATTAATTCAAGTTTGCTGGTCATATATCACAAATGTATTTTGACTCTTCGGATATTACAAATAAGAATTAGTTGAAATTGAAAACTACCTTGAAGATAAAAGGCTCGATATCCTCTACCACTACTTCCTCTAAGCTAGGATCCCCAACAAGTCCAAAAAACTGTGCTCTAAACACAGGAGATCGTGCCGCAAGTATTAACTTATGAGCTTTGAAGCTCTCGCTTTTAACCTTGAAAACTATGTCGCAACAAACCTCTGAGTCCAGCAAGTCCTTAAAATTTCGGCCCATGTCTGACAGTGGCACAATAACACCCTGTTTAGATCCCTCAAAACGAGTTTTGACAACACCAACAGTGCAATGCATGACAAGGCAATCATCTTTTAGATACTCCGAAGTTTCCAGTAGAGTTCTTCTGAAGAAACGCTTGTAACCCCTGAAATGAGCACAGAAACGTTTTAATTGCAGGAAACACCCAAAAACCATACACAATAACATTTTATCCCCCATCCCAAAAAAATTAAGAAAGTCAAATATAGGTAACTAAAATTACATTAACTAATTTTAAATGCATTCATGCTTTCAGACAATATTCTCACTCAAAAACATCTTGTATGATAGCACAAAATTTAAACTCCTAAACCCCAACTAAACTGAATACAATAACAAAACAAAAGGCAAAGAATGCTGAACAAGTTGAAGGTATTATAAACTGCCATTATACTTCAACATGTAAGGATCACTCCTGAGAATGTGGTCAAAAGTTAACAACAGAAACCAACAAGACTAGAGATAAAAACCTTCTGTCCAGTGGTCAAAAAGCTTGAAAATCATATCACAAACAAAGCTATATTTAGGTGTAAAAAATAAGTAACTCAATCCCTGTATTTAATAAACACCACAGATATAGTCATGCATTTTGTTCATGTAAAGTCACTCCTACTCTGCTTCAATTTACTCCTTTCAGGAATTAAAATGACAAAAAAAAAATAACAATCGCAGCACATGATTCGAGCTTCAAAAACTGAGAACACGTAAACAAATTAAGGAACTGTGTTTTGTCCTATCTACAAAGTAGCAGTGCACTTTAGACTGTCAGTGCATTTATAACCATCGATTAAATAGTTGACGATCCAAATTACTATTAAACATGATACGTACACACATAAAACAAGCAAGTTATAAGGCTACTAAACTCTCATCATGTGACATGCCAACGCCACTCAATTCAAAACCCTAAACCCTAGAGTTTCTAAACATCACCATTCCCCACAGCTAACCATTATCCCAATTTCAAAATTGAGGGAGTGAATTGATGATACCAACCACATGCTGCCTCTATACTTCAAGGTGTACGGTCCACCATCAAGAGGCCTATCGAAATGGCTATGAACCTTATCGTTCCCCTTCTCACTCTGATCCACCAGCGTCAACTTGAACAGAGCCCTAACGTCAGTTCCATCGCTTGCGAGAGCTATGAAGACCGATACGTACATGGAATTGTCCTCGGGGTTCTTCCCGTCAGGGTAGAAGTAAATTGCCCAATCGTAACCACCGACGCTAAATGTGTCGCTCATGATGTACTTCCCAGCACCCATCCCCTTTGCGAGAGAGTACCCCTTTATCGTGAATTGGTGCGACCCGTTCACCGTTTCGCTGATCGAGCGCGAACACGAAGAGCCCTCCGAGAAGGGCTTGAAATCCCCCATCCGGTCCTCCTCCAATTCCGCCATCGCAAAACCCTAGCGACGGTGGCGCATCGATGAGTGGGGGCGAAACCCTAATTCCCCGAATTGGGGCGAGGAGAAATGGAATTGGGCACAGTGATGGCGGAATTAGGGAAAGAGAGAGAGGAATAAGGAGTTACGTTAGAAATACGAAAGCTATGTGCTGTGTTACGGTTTGAGGTTTTAGAGAAGAAAGAAAGAGAAAATAGTTAAATGAGGTAAGAGAGATGTAAGGTAACAAAAATCCAGAACACAACAACCAAACGAAACGCCGATATCGTATTTATATGATTCTACTACTGCCAGCCACCGCTAACTCCTTATAACACGCTATCCCACTTTCCTTTTCACACCCCCTACCCCTTGCCACACCCACTTCTTCTTTCAAAATTACTAAATATATTCATCACAATAATTTTGTTCCATCGTAACGCAGGTCTAAATTACTATATATCTTGACTTAAATATAAATAATAAATAATTAGATATCATTGTAAACTTGTAAGAATTATTTTTATATTTATAAATCGATTTAATATCAATCTTTTATCAAAAATAATTTTAAATTCAAAATAAACATATAAATATTAAGAATATTACACATCATATATATATATATATATATACACGAAAAAAAATATTAAATCCAAGATTTATTCAACCTATTATGTAATAAAAAAAAGTAATAGTTAATATAGAATAATTATATAAAACTAAGTTGAATAGGCATAATTTATTTAAATAAAAAATAATTAGAAAAATATGCATCGAGTATGACATTGCCTCACTTGGGTGGCATCATCTTTTCACTTAATCAAGTTTGCAAAATAAAATGTATTCGAAAGTATACATGATTTCTATTATTATTTTTTAAGAAACTGAGATATTTTAAGATATTATATAAAATTTAATTTTTGCATTGTATTTAATATAAAACTGAGGTATACGAGTTTTCTTGCATCGTTACATGAGTCAAGAGATTGTAAGAGAAAGGAAAGTCACCTTATTTCTTTTTTGTTATTCAAGCATTTATAGTTTCATATTTAATATAATTTTAATTTTTTTAATTTTAAATAATAACTTATATTTCATAATAGTAATAATATCTTATTTAAATTAATCGCTCACTCACTTTAGTTTCTACCAATCTTATTTTATTTCAATATAATTTTACTATTTTAAATTCTTTTTTATTTTAAATAATAAATCACGTTTCATTTTAATATAATTCAGCTTATTATATTTTATTTTAACTTGTTTTTATGATTAGGAATAAAACGGTAATTTTTTTATTATAACAATTAAAATATTTTTTAATCTATTAAACAAATCACATCTTTTACAAATTTTTATCTTAATCTCTTTATTTTTTTATCATTTTTCTTTTCGTATAAACAACATCATTTTGACCTTTCTTTCTTTTCAATTTCACTTTCTAAAATTTGTATTTAGAAATAATCACACGTCCTCCTCTAGTATAAAATCATCTTACATTTTGAGGATAATCTTTTATTATTATTTTGCTTTTAAAATAAAACTTAATTTTCTTATTTACACTTAAATAAGTTTGACTAATGTAATTAAAATGTAGTATTAATTGTTATCACCATATAAAAAAGTTACGTAAATTTAATTAGAATTAGACTTACATATGTCCTCGACTTTTTTTTTTTCTTATATAGATCACTTTTGAATTTTATTAATGTGACTAGATCATTAAGATTTTCTTCTTCTTCAAATTATACCCTGTTAAGTACAATTTCTATTGTTAAATAAAATACATGAATATCCAAAATCCCTCATTTTCTATTGTTAAATCCAAGGTTATATTTTTAGTTTTATTTTCATAGAGCCACTTTTAAAACAATTTTTCCAATTTTTTCTTAACGTATTAAATCTATTAAATTATAGTTACCAAACAGATAACTATTCACGGATTAATCGATTTTTCATGCAATTGGTTGGAATTGATATTATCAAGCATTAAATTTATCTTAATCATGTCATGCCACGTAATTTGTTAGTAATGGTGTGAAAATAGGTTGTAACTTGTGAGTGAATCCGGCTTACCACCGGTTTGAGCCGGGAGCTTGAAAAAATTGTAATTTTTTTTTATGTAGACTAGTTTTCAATTCGGCTTATTTAGAATTCAGTTCACCGAGTTGAATTCGTGATGAGTTGGCTCACCAATCTACCTAATTTAATTATTTATTATTTGAGTGTTACTTCCTCCACCACTACCAAATGTTCCTTGCACCACCCCATGCCTAATTTGTCCTTGCTAGAAAACGGATGTCAACATCCATTTCACCTTCAACGAATGTTGACATCCGTTTACATATTTTATATTTTAATTTATTGTTTTTATTTAATAGATTTTTAAAAAATATTTTAATTATTATTTAAATAACAATACATAAATTAAATTAATAATAACTATTTTTCTTTAATATTATTAGTTAATATTTTTTTATTATATAGTATATGTTGATAAAGAAGAAAATGTTTGAAGAGATAAAAATATTATAAATTTATTTATTCAAGACTCTAATATTAAAAATAAAATTTTTTTATAAAAATTATCAATATTAAAAAGTTATTTATTCATTTTTATACATATTTTTAGATTACACTTGTATGATATATTTTTATTTATTTTGAATTATTTATGGAGTTTGAAATCATTTTAATATAACTTTTACTTAGATTTGAATTAAAAAGTTATAATTTTTTATTTAAAAAATACTTATAATTAAATAAATCAACTGGTTTAATCTCGGATGGTTGAAATTTTTCTAACTCATATTATATTGACACAAAATCCTGATAAATCGGACCGGGTGGAGAGCCCGTTAGCCGTTTTGACCGCTGTTAGAAAATCTTAGCTTTAAAAGAGGGAACTTTGCTACGTGGATGTCCCCATGAAAACAAAAGTCTGTAATTAGCTGCAAAAACACATAGTCACTGCACTTTTTTTTTTTTTTTTTCATGTAAGAAGTCTTCAGTAAACACTGAACAGAAAGGAGAAATTTTAAGCAGAACCCATTATTTGCGGATTCATGAATTGAAACGTGAAATCCCCAATGACTGGCGATTTTCTTCGGACTCTGCTCTCTCTCAAGATCGCCGTCTTCTTCTTCATCGCCGTCACCTTCTTCTACTTTGGCAAGCATTGGTCCGATGGCTACAACCAGCTCGTGTTCTTCACCACTCAACGTTCCGACCCAGATCCGAACACGAGCCCGGTCGTTACCATGTCGCCGAATTACGCTAAATCCTTTAACCTCTCCGCCCTTATTGACCAGAACATAACCCAACCGGTGCCGGAAAATGCCCCGCCGCCTCCGCTTCCGGAGGTGTCGATCGAGCAAATGGGAATCCTGAACAATAATGGCACGATGACCAAGGAGTTCGAGGTGGGGTATTTCGAACCCGGTATGGTGGATCAGTGGGTGAACGAGTCCCAGGTTGAGAGGGAAGGTTCTGCTTCTAATTCTAAATTGGGGAGGAAAAAGTTTGGGTTGTGCTCGCGCGAGATGAGGGAGTATATACCTTGTTTGGATAACGAGAACGCGATTCGGAAGCTGCCTTCCACTGAGAAAGGGGAGAGGTTCGAGCGGCATTGCCCCGTGCAAGGTCAAGGGTTGAATTGCTTGGTTCCTGCACCCACTGGATACCGTACTCCTATTCCATGGCCCAGAAGCCGAGATGAGGTCAAAACGTCGCCTTTTTGTTTTTTTCTCTTCCAGTTTAGCCAGATGGATGTTTCGAGATTCAATTAGGAGGATTTTAAATTTGGTTTTGTTTTTTTAAGAGATAAAGCTTAGATACTGTTATATAGCTGCTTTTGATATTTTTTATCCTGTCAGAGTTATAATTTCACCTTAGTAATTCACTTAGCCAAGTTTTCCAATGTCATTATCAAGATGAAGCTTCTATTTTGATAGGAGAACAGCGTCAAAAGCTCTAATATAACTTAAGATATCCTTTTTCTTTAGGTTTTCATGAATATAAGTTTTGTGTAGGTATGGTTCAATAATGTTCCTCATACACGTCTTGTTGAAGATAAAGGAGGCCAAAACTGGATTTCTAGAGACAAGGATAAGTTTAAATTCCCCGGAGGTGGCACTCAGTTTATCCATGGGGCAAATGAATACTTGGACCATATTTCTAAGGTTATTAATTTTGTTGTTTTTGTATGATTTGATTTTGGTTTTGCCTTACCTTTTTGTTGGGAAGTAGTTGCTTCTAAGTGGAATCTGACATGGGATTTTTCTGATTATAGATTATTCCTGAAATTACCTTTGGTCGGCATATACGTGTTGTTCTTGATGTTGGTTGCGGGGTTGCTAGTTTTGGTGCATACTTACTGTCACGGAATGTTGTCACTATGTCTGTTGCTCCCAAAGACGTTCATGAGAATCAGATTCAGTTTGCTCTTGAGCGTGGTGTACCGGCAATGGCAGCAGCATTTGCAACTAGACGATTGTTGTATCCAAGTCAAGCTTTTGACATGATACATTGCTCACGCTGTAGAGTTAATTGGACTAGAGATGGTATGTATCTCTCTTTCTTATATGATAAGCAACAGGGTCTGGTAGTAACGAGGAGACATGTTATATTGAGAGGTCTGTAATGGCTAATCAACCTATAGAAAGTAAAGAATCTATGTTTGAACTGCCACTTTTCTTGGTAGTGATATGTAAATAACATTATTTGTGTTATGATGCTTAGAACTTATCTTTATTTGTGATGAAGATGGGATACTGCTGCTTGAAGTAAATAGGATGCTAAGAGCAGGAGGTTACTTTGTCTGGGCTGCCCAGCCAGTTTATAAGCACGAGGAAGTTTTAGAAGAACAGTGGGAAGGTATAGCAATATTTTCTGAAGCTTTTTACAAATAGAGTTTGTCTAACTCTTTATTACCAAGAATGCTGTCTAAACCTATGGTAAATGTAACCTTTGATTTGGTTATCTCCAGAGATGCTTAATCTTACAACTCGACTCTGTTGGAATTTTTTGAAAAAAGATGGGTACATTGCAGTGTGGCAGAAACCATCTGACAATAGTTGCTATACAAACCGTGAGGCAGGAAGTAAACCTCCACTGTGTGGCCCAACTGATGACCCAGACAGTGTTTGGTATTGTGCTCAGGCCTTCCTGTACATTGATGATTGTACATTTCCATCAATCCAGATGATTATAGCCAGAAGTGGTTTGTAAAATTATTACTGTCATTCTTATACGTGATAGAGTTTTCT